AGCCGAAATTCCCTTCGGCAGCGAAGTTAGGATAGGTAAACTACTCATTTTGAGCGTACTTTGATAAAGGACCGGTGGATGCCTCCATTTCACACATTCTGCCCACATCCTATCCAATTTTCTGCACCAGGTCATCCACCCTGGAGCTCCTCCACCCTTAGCCCTAGCAGAGGTGTCCATTCTCCTGGTCCAGGACCGTTCCCTTGGACCATGGCAGGCGGAAATGTGAAACATCTCAGGGTTTCTTCCACATTACACCGATACTTATCAGAAGTCTACTTTAAATGAGTCGATTACGTGTCGTGAGCCCTCTAATCCTTATCTTGAGTATTGGAGAAAAAACAGAGCGCCCCCGAACTGGATTTCCACCGTCTCAACGTCATTGATAATAGAAAAAGATCTCAGGAAACGAGACACGTTGAATAGAAAATACTTACCTGCCGCAGACCCATCAGCAGGCTGTTTCGAAGCATGCATCCACAATGGCCCTGTACTTCCAACTGCCTCAACACATATTGCCAGCTCAAGTCGGTTATCATCTTAAAATTCCACTTAAAAAAGAGTCACCAATAGTATCACAAGGCCGTGGACAGGCTAAGCAAAAGAATGAAATCTCACCAGAATTATCACTCTGGAAATCCTCGATGAACTGCCTTGCGCCTTGGTAATTGTATTTTCCTGCTGCCGTCCACACGAAAACCTTAACGGGTGATAAATAATTGATAAAACAACACGAACAAATGACGGAGACATAGCTCTGACTCTGACTGCGATCATACAAGAGGCAGAAAATCAGATTTAAAAAGAACCAACCAAATTGAATGGAGGCCTCGTGGATGGCTTCTCATACAGTTTACGGAAAATGGCAAGCAGCTCGAGCAAAACAATTACTCCACTACCGTTGGAATCAGCTCCCACAGCTGCTCCCTACAACAAATAATAAAACGCCACAACGAGATAAAACAGAATCCATTCAATGAAGAAAAACATACGGGGAACACAGCATGAGAATCGTAGTGAGCAACAAAAGCAATGGTAGGAGCGGAGCGTTCACTGCTGCTTAAGACGGCCCTACAAACAACAACAATTAAGTAAGTATAAAATGTATATGCAACAAAAATAAGGTTCAATCGGAGCTCCTAGAAACTTTCCAACCACTAGAAAAACCCGATTATTTGGTTGCAATTTTCAAATAAATACATAAATAAAAAGAAAGTGGAGGAGCCTAAATAAACAAATAAACAAATTTTCATGACAATCATCAATAAAGCGTGGAAAGTTCAGAATGGACCACGCCGCAGCCCAATGCGATTACCGAATTAGCCTTGTGATGCTTCGGTCCAAGCTTACGCTTGTCGTGAATCCCGGCACACCCACCCAGTGCGAGGTGTAAGATGCTCTCACTTATAAGAGTTTCTAAGCTGTCTCCCGTCCCATGCTTGTCTCTCATTGCCTAAGCACAAAAGTGAGCAAGCCCTTATCTGAAGCGTTTTCGACGTCCTGAAACTATGTTTTCCTTTCTTCTTTATGGCCGACCCACTTCGTTTTTGCTTTTTCCCTTGAAAGATATCGCACCAGTTGGCGAGGCGCGAGCCTCTCCTTTCAATATGCGAATGACAGAAAACAAGAAGAAGTCAGGATCGACAATGATATTACTGGGCTTGTAAGTTAATGGAGTTGCTGATGGCGATCCAGTCGAAGTGAACTAAAAATATTAACAATACGTTACATGGAATTTGCAAGGTGTAAAGGCGCATAAAATCGTGCTATACCTGGAAAGTGTTTGCCGCTATGGAATTGATCAACTGCTGAGTTGCTGACTTACTGACACCGGAGGCGGATTGCACATCACTTAGGATGGTGTTCGCTTCGGGAGATGAATGCGAAACGTACACGGCAAGATCAGTGCGTGCCGTTGCAAGTTTTTGCTCAAGCTCCATGAAGAGCTGGAAAAGGGCGGTTATTTCAATGGAGATGATATAGGATGCTAAAATGACAGTCGTACACTTATAACTGGCATCCGTAGATTATAATGCACATAAAATAGGCTTATGTCAAGAAGTAATAAAAAATATACGAGAGATGAAAGAAGAAACGAATAGATTTTGGTAAAATCAAGAGTAGTGAAAACGCAATATTAGGAAAAAATCTCAATGCAAATTGAAAAAAAAAACCAAACCATCCAAGGTGTGAGAGTGGCAATAAGAAAAGGAAACGGAAAGGATCTCATTGAACTAAATGGTATCAGCACTTGCCCAGGGATTCTACATCATATCTAGAATACGTACCAGCGAAGCCAACCTACTGCCTATTGTTGAAATCTGTTGGAAACAGGTCGACCCAACGACACAAAAGATCAAACCAGAACACCAAGAAATCACTCGCAAGCAAAACAGAATACTGCTCCTACCGTCTTGTCGGCAGGTGACAAAGCATCCAGATCCGATGGAATTATAATCAGCAGAGCACCCACAGTAGTCTCCATTAATTCATCGAGGTTCCGACCAGTTAGATCGCGCCATGATACAACCACGCATCTGTAAAGCACAAAACTAATGCCATGATATAGGAATGGAATTAGAAGTCCACCTACCTTCTGAGCGCTTTCGAATTAAGCGACACGGCCTCATACTGCACTCGAAAATGTTTACTTCCTATGACGTTGCCGTTGAGCTCATACTGTTGAAGGCGAAATGCTTGAAATTCCAATTCGACCTTGTCGCCAAGTTGACTTCCGCTCACCTGTAAAATTCATAGTATGCCTTCCCGACACCCATTTCATGGGATGAGGTTCTGCAATTAGAATACAAACGCCTTCATTCTGAGTGGTTAACCCGAGGCAATTCAACAGTTGGAATAGCAGTGTCTTAATTTGATAAGAGGAAAAGATCACACCCTCCAATTTTTGAATAAAAGAATTGTCATTGTTTTGTCACGTTTGCCGCAAGTGGTTGAGTGGAAGATTTCTTCTTACTG